CAGCTGTTTTCCTCTAGCTATCTCACGTCGCAAAGGCAGTGAGCCTCCTCAGCACAGGTTTCAGCACGGCCGCACGGCATGGGTCCTCGGTGAGGTTATAGAGCTTGTTAGCCAAACCAGCACTCTGAGGGACAGCCAACTCATGACTCTTCAGCCATACTGTATGCAGCCAAAAAATACTTCTAGTGTGGGGCTGGGCTAGGCTGATGGTTCAGGATCTTGTGGGGTTGTGTTAATGCAAGGGTCTATTCTTCCCCACAATGGAAAAGGAAGGTGGTTGCATCTGTAGGACACCCAGCTCTATTCCATCACACCAACAGTTGTTACCTGTGAGCTAGGAACAAGTCCTAGGGCCTCGTCCCTTCTGCTCTCTTGGGGACATGATGGTCCACAGCCATGTGGAGAAAACAATCAAGCTTCTGGAAAACAGCACAGCTACCCCGGTGCAGGTCTGGAAAGGGAATCAGAGCTTGGCTACCCAGGCCTAGGATACATATTGAGCACTTGGCCCATATTTTCTAGCCCCAGATACCACACTGAATGAATGGCATCCCTGCTACCAGTAAATCCTTTCTGCACTCATGCCACCAACCATCATCTCTCGCTCACCATGCGCATCTTCTGAAGAGCGTGACATGGGGTGCTAACACTACCAGCTCTCCGTCACACATGAGAGCCACCCTCCTTCCTGCTTAAGAGCAATTTCTTCTAGTTCTCACCTCTTATACACACATGCCAGGTGTGAGAAGCTCAGCTCCAGCAGGGTGGAAAAATCCAATCACGGGCAGATTTGCCAAAAAGGAGGTGGGAGTGGTAAGGATAGAGGCAGGGTACTAAACCTGTCCAATGCTCCCGAGTGCCTCGTTATACTGATTTATATTTAGTTAATTGAGAAAATGACTCTAATTACACAATCCAAGCCCTAATTCAGAAAGGCCTGAGCTTTTTAGGGTTTCTACCTGCATCTTAAAAGGCATGATTTAAACCCTGTAGCTAACAGGCTGCCAAAGGCAAAGATTGGAAGGACCTGATGTCCTATCATGCCAAGAGGGTGAGGCTTGGCTAACTTCTCTCATTACCTGGTCTTTCCCCACTGACGTACAAGTTTGTTGCTGGGACATAAATCAAGGGAAAAGATGAAGGAAACCAGTCTCGTGCCCCATCAAAGGAGCCAACACTCGTTTTAATAGGACCACGCAGACAAGCCTAAATAGGGCACTTAACAAGCATATGTTTTCTGTTACACCAGCCCATATCTCTACACCCTACGTGCATCGCCGCTGGCAAAACTCTTCGTCCCTTGCTTGCCAGGCCTGCATACATGACACACAGAGCTAGAAAAGGGACCACAATACAATGTCAAAGTAACAAATATATGATCTTTTGGCAAGATCAGGCATTCAGAAAAAAAATATCTATGTCTTAGCAATGGTATGAACCTTTATATGCAGCTATGGCACGTTCTAAAGTGAAGCACAGGCATCCCTGTGCCATTAACCTAGGCCACTATATCTACACAGCATGAGACCAAAGCACCAAACTCAGTCCATGACTGACCAGCTGCACGAAGACGAAGTAAAGGGTGAGGGCTCAGGTTGGGGCTATCTAGGCTTTTAGGAAAAATTCCACTATTTGAAAGAAGCTTGGCTTGATGGAGAGCTCGAGTCTCCCCAGACAACTACTCTAAGCTGAAAGCTCTTGAGAGACCAACTTTGACTGGGCTGGATCAGCCTGAGGATTGTCCAAGTGTTTTACACCATGAAGCAGACAACCATGGGAACCCCAGGCCACAGAAGTTATGCTCTTTACTCTGAGCCTTGACCATCTGTGCTCACTTAAACACTTTTTTGATAGAGGAGGGAATGCTAATCCCAACATCCTGCCCAAACTGCACCAGGGGCAATTATACTGTGCTTTGCAATATTCCCACAGTGGTTTAGACTGGTATTTTCCAATTCTTCCAATAAGGGTAAAGCTGTCTTCCAACACAAAAGGATTACACTGCCCCCGGAGAACACATTTCCTCTGGATATTGCTATCCAATACCACGCGCTGCTCCAGGCTGCCTGTAACGGACATTCAATCCCAGCATCACCCAAATTCAGGCTCCTACTTATACCTACAAGAGGTCCTCTCTGAAAAATCAGCTTGTCTATTGCTGACTTAGGAACTTTTTGGTCTTCTGTGTTTCTGAAGAGATACCAACTGAGCAGACAGCACACTTGCCTTCAATACAACCCAGGGACAGTAGAGCCAAATGCTATAAAATGCTTTAAATACTACAAAGGTTGAAATGACATTGGCCTGAAGAGCTCTCAATTCCAACTTCCTTCATGGAAAAACAAAACAAAAAAACCTCCAGCACTTTTGTTGCACCAAAATCATCTCCTGGCATTTCTGAGCAGCACACATGTTGTTACAATTATGACTGGACTGCTCGGCTCCGGCATAGGGAGAACGTTAAACCGGCACGCTGGCACCCATCAAAACATTTGAGAACTTCCAAAGTGGAACTGACACCATGGTAGTGGTTTATATCACACGTCAGAGAAAGGCTTCGTAACTCAGATCAAACAATTTAACTCTTGAGCTTCCTGTCTAGGGAGAGCAACCAAATGCTTGCCTGCCTATTGTTATTTCATATGGCTGTTTCATATGGCTTCCAGCCAGTTCACTTCATTTTGCAAGTTCATATGCTAAATATGGCTAGACCCAGCCAGAACTTCAGTGAGGGACCAGTAAGAGAACAGAAACTGCTGCTTCTAACACTAGCATCTTTTCTGGGAGCCAGGAACAGCACCAGCCATGCCAGGATGGCAAGCAAGGCCTTTTTTATTTAAGCCATTTTGTTGGCTATACACTTATTTCTTTCCAGGTAACTCAATGGTCCTAGAGTTGCCAAAAAAAAGATCTTTGGACTTGTGAATTCTCATCTTTTTGGTTTGAGAAGTTCAGACAACAGTCTTATTGGTATCAGAGAAATGTGATCAGAAAGACTATTCCAACAATATTTTAGCCAACCAGAGGCCCACAAATTGCATGCATTTGCTCCTTGCAAACAGGATCACAATTCAGCTCTTCCGTCAGCTGCTTTTATGTCTCCTGATGAGCTGAATAAAACTGTAACAAGGACCAGATCTATTTCCTAGAACTTTGATTTGAGGAGCAAACCGGGACAGTTTCAGAGGAAGGGATAAGAATGGTACAATTAAATTTGTATTGCACTCACTGGTATCCAGTTTTGAAAACCATAATCAGGTTGTTACAAGCTGCTCTATAACTGCAGGCAGAGCAAAGTTCAGTCCCATTTTTTTTTCAGAATACAAAGCAACCTTTGGTTTTTAGAAGTCTTCCATCAAAGTAAGAGGGAATGCAGAATGTATCAGTAACAACACAGCAGTAAACTCTAAAGTTGCTTCTGAGTTTTCCAACCTCAATCAGCTCTAACCACAAGTGGCTTCTCTAGAAACAGATCTATCTTTCTCCTGTGCTTGGGAGATACTAGCAGAGATTCTCCAGTGCTGCTTTGGGCCAGTTAGCTGAAAGGATCCCTGCCGAGCTGTATCTTGCCATGTCTTTGCCTCATTCATTTTCATATTACCTGCAGAGCAAAGTCGCCAAGGGAAGTATCCGATCTGGTCTTTTATCATCTCCTGCAGGAAAAATAAGTCTTGGATACATGTATTAGTATCAGGTGTCACAACTGAAAGTAAACATACCGCATAGAAGATGCACTGATTTATTAATAAAATAAAATGAAATGTAGTGATACAGTTTTCCATTATTAAAGCCACTGAGACACTTAGTGCCCATTTATATACATGATGGTGTCATTCAGTGACCTATTCACAAGGCGTGACTGACAGGCTGAAAGTCAGGTATTACAGAAACCACTTCCACGGTGAAAGAAGTCTTCCTCCTTTACAAAACAGACATGAAAACCGTCCCCGAGGTTTGCAGCAGCGTCAGTCTACGGGAGAACTTTTTATGTCCTCTAGCTCAATTCCCAAGACTTCCTCCACTTGGAATGGCTTTTTAAAGCTTTTCAGCAGCAGAGCAAACAGTTGAATTTCTTCTGGGGTATGAACCCATACTCGCTCTCCAGGCAAGAAAATGAGTTGAACCTACTTATTTTCAGCATACTGTGAGGATGATTTATTACAAGATCCTCAGCCGATTACTGGAGATTTGAGGCAACTATGACAGAGAAAAATATATATAATGAAACAATTGTAACATACTCTATTGTGTTTTTCTACTTCTACATCATATAATCTGGCATGTCTTAAACTTTGTTCCCCACCGCTTCTGTTTAATCACAGTTGCTCTGATTTCATAGGTATTCATGTTATCAATATACAGCTTTGCAGGCTCTAGCATTTTCTGAAAAAAAAGCAAAATAATAAACTAGAAATACTTCAACTGACTTTACATTTTTTCTCTATATGTGAATTTGTTATAAATCAGGTGCAAAAAAAAGCCTCACCTACAAATATAATTAAAGTTCTTACTTCAATTTCAGAGAATTAAAAAACCTTGAAAACTAATCCCTTATGGATACAAAGCACGATAAATATCATATCGCAGTTTGCAGGGGACAGAATATGCCCTAAACCAGAATTAGCTGCACTTTTCCCCCTACAGAGAGGTACCATCCCCTCTTGTACACTGCTTGGAACAGGTATGTGTGATATGTGTATGCATAAAGCCTTCAGAAAAGAAAACATACTGCTTGCCTCCGGGTATCCCGTTTCAGCAAGGTACAAAGCACCATGAAGAGTTTGGCATTAGAAAGAGAACCTAAAACTAAAAGTGTAAAGGCAAATGATGAACCCGAAATGAGAGTCCTGTTAAAAAATAAAAAAAAAAATGAAAGCAAAATTCAAGAGAGAAATAAAGTGCACATTACTGGCACTGCAGAAGCTCAGAGATAACATAGAGAATGCAAGCCCATAGCAGGTATATCTTCTGTAACAGGCTGGCTTATCTGAATATAGTCGTCATGTATCAGAGCAAGCTGGGTGGTCGTCTGCAGTCGCCGTCGCTGCTTGAGCTGGGCTGTCCATATTGGAGAGGGACTTGCTCTGGGAGCTTTCACACTGCACTGACTGTTCAGAAATAGCAGGGGAAGCAGCAGTACGTTCAGCACTCCCATTCCCTCTTGCTGTAGCACCGGGTGTAGGGCTTTCTTTAGCCATCCTGGCATGATTTTGTGACTGGCTAGCTTGTCTCCCCACTTCTGCCTCCTGCTGCTGCAGCATCCGTTCCACCTCTATCTCAAGTTCCAGACTTTCCTCATCAGCCTCCACTTCCAGCTGCTGCATTAACTCCTCCAGCTTCCTGGCCTTGCGGAGTTCATTCTGCTGTATGATTGTGCACAGGTGCTCTGTGAGATGCTCCTTAATCTCCGTCTTGTGTTGCAGGTCCAGCTTGGCTGCCACGTATTCCGACTCCGCCTTATCATACCGTTTCCTGCAAAACCATCATCATTTCTAGTGGATTAGTTCTCAAGGCACTTCGGTCTTACACACAGACAGACACTTGAAGCATCTGCGAAATGCAATCTCCTCTGCAATGCATTATGCCAAGCTATTTCATGACATCCTGCTACATTATTCAAAGGGAAGAAATGCAAGTAGATCAGACTTCCCCTTGGCACATCAGACTCCACTGCTGCTGCATTCCAAGAGTTAAACCCCTTGTCTGAGCTCTACAAACTCAATCGCACACAAGCAGTTTTACTGCCCAATTTAAGGGATGCAGATCTAGTATCAGAAAGAAATCACCAAAAACCATAGCGGCTTCACATATTCCAACAAACACCTACCTAGTGAAAACTAAAATATCACAAATCAGTTTTGTATTTCTCTGATCCAACATCTATTCAATGGATGCAGATGCCACAACACACATTTATGCTTAAATGCGGTCTAGAAGTACACTTTTCCTGCCACCCAAAAATACACAAAATTATGAGCAGCACAGATGACATCAACAGTGATCGCAATTTTTGCGCTGCAACAGATGTAGATTATTGTATTCCAATCCCCCCAGCATACACGTCCTGCCAGTTTGCAGTTCCTGTCATGACAAATATAGCAAAAAGGAAATATTCCAAATATTTGAGGTCAACATATCCAGGCTAGCTAGCTCTTTAATGGTTGCTGTCCGCACCACTGATGTTTCTTGAACTACATTCAGTGAACTTTCGTATTAATTCTGATTTAACTAATAGGAAGATAGATGCAAACTTGCTGACTAGGAAAAAGAACATGCATGTAATGTATATTATGGAGTATTCACAAATCTAATGTTAGTAAAATAAACATTCTACAAAATCACTATTGAAATATCTGTTTAAACAAAGCAACAGAAAGATGACAGGCCTTTAGTTTAGAGAATGAGGAGGAAATAATACATGGAAAAGCATTCCCAAATATGTTTCACTACATAGTAACCACAAAACTCTTACCTTGCTGTCAAGGCTGTGTCTACAGTGGGCAAAAAAATGCCCACCTACATTTCCCTAATAATCATGTCAAGATTTCTCTGGGCACTGTATGTGAAAGGGAAGAGTTAACACTACAGTGGAAGCTTCTGCATAATTAAACAATTCAGGTCGAACCTGTACATCTTATTTATGAAAACTCCATTCCACAACGATTCTCTGATACCCTTGTGTGTTCAGAGCTATTAATATTGCACATCTTGACCCATTGAAATAATTTGGCTTTAGCCCCAAAACATATGTTGAAGGCTGAACAAGTGCTTAAAAAGATACTGTATGGAAGCACATCAGCCTTGGCTCATAATGCATGAAACCCACAACACTGAAGTTTCCAAAACTTCCTCTCTCAGAAAATAAATGACTTCAGAAGTTTGCTAAAGTCATTAAGCATATTGGAAAGTTTAGTTGATTCTCCCTACCAGCATCCCTTTTTGTCATCTTCATTTAAAATTGCTTCCCAAAAGCCAAAGCTGCTTGTTATATGTTCTTCTACTATGAAAAATTTCAAATAGGCACATTGTTATAAGATTTAGATAAAGAAATTTCCGAGAGTATTTAATGCTTTTAGAAACCAGAGTTAAGCCTACAAATACACCAGAAATGCTTTTCCTCTTAAAGATATGAAGTTCAGTATCTAAAAGTACTGAGCTAGTGAAACTACAGTTAATCTTAGATATCTCAAATGATAATTAGGCAAAGGAAAATCTTATTTTTTAGTTGCCACTGGTATTTCTTTAAACACTAATTACCCTGTTTATTGGCCTGTGGTCAATGTACAGCAGACGTCATAAGGAGAAATACACATTTAACACATTAAATCGTGAAACAAAAACCGCAAGTGAACATTTCCATTTTATTAAACGGCTACATAAACACACTGATGTTGATCTACTGATGTTGCGGTTTACCCACAACTAATAGGGTGTTCCAATTAATTTCTTGCATTTAAGGAATTCATCAGAAGCAGAGTGATTAAAGGCACATTGTGAAGAGTAGAAGCTCACTTCTTCCTTCAGTTTTTGGTCCCAGTTCCAACAGCACTTCAGCACTATTATGTATGTTTCAAGCTTAATTGGTCCCATTGATTCCAAAAGGACCAGAGCTGTCATCAACAGGCAAGTTTCCCCAAAATGGACGTTCATTTTAGGACTTAAAAAATATGCACAACTGCACCATTAAAGCAGCAAATACATCCACTGACAGCACAAAGCTGGAAAGCACAACCTGCAATCAGGAAACCTACTTCAGCTTCCAGACACCAAATGGGAAAAAAAAAAAAAAAAAAGGAAAAAAAGGAAACAAAAAAAACACTTAAAGAGTTAAAAGTTCCCCATTATGCCATTTGCCTATATGATTACAAAGTAATGCCACTATTGCCCCAGCAACAGGAAACTGCATTTTATCCCTCCGCTGCCTGCCTGTCACTTACCGGGCATAGGAGTAGTCTAAGCTTGCCTGATCAATTCTGTTCCGCAGGATTCCAATGTCAGCGGATACCAGGTCATCCAGAGCTTGCAACTCCTTCTGAATCCTCTTTAGTTTCACTGTTTCAGCTTGCGTTCTTCTGGATCTGCAAAGGGAAGATGCTTTTTATAATTTGGCTTTGCAACTGTCTTTTCTTGGCATAATCCATCTCACTTCATTTGCAGAGCAACAGCCGCCTTTAAGAGCTACTCCAAAAGTCTCTCCTTCATGGTTTAAGACTTTTGATCTTTTTTAATATCCACAGGGATCTAAAATGCCTGCTATTAAAGGACTAAGGCAAAATTACGTAATGACTATAATCAAAGTGCCTCAAATGGATTGTGTTTCTTCACTGTGGAAACACACAAGAAACTGCTGTATCTAAGTAGTTCTCAGTGTAAGGAAACAGGAAATGGTGGGGGGAGTGTGTGTGGGTATTTAGTCCTGCAAATATCCCCTTTCAAAGAAGCCCAGTTAGTAAGGGCCAAAGAGTCACCTAACCTAAACTTGATTTCCATTTTGCAAAATTATTCCCAACAGGCCTAGCTAAATCCCAATGAAGTCAATGGAAAATTGTACATCAAACACAAAGAATTTCAATCAAACCCTGTATAACCTTTTTCAACTCAGGCCATTCATTCCTAAGTTTTGAAAACGAAATGTTGCTAAGGGCAGCAAGCTTTGATGGATTTCACTCCAAAGCAAGCTAAGGAACTTTCAACAAGTTTTTTTATGCCAGGTCACTAGGCTATCATGCATTACCACTAGCAAAGCCATAGTTTTCAGTCACTACATTATATCCCCAATAAAAAAGAGATGAAAAGGAAGATTTAGATGTATAGGAATTGATATCACTGCTCACTAGACCAACTGATGCAGATGGAGAGAATGAGACATTCTGTAGCACTGCTCTGAGCCCGAAGGTATCTGAAGCTCAGACATTACTTCCTAGGCATCACCCATCGAGACCTCCTCTATGTTCTTAGGCTCTGCCTCCAGGAGGAGGAAACCAGACTGGGGGTCACTCCACGTTTACTTTTCTTCTGTGACCCAGGCCAAAGACGGGCTTTTTATCTCTACCTGGCAGAGGAATGAAAGTCTCTAGAACCTCAGAGGAGACCTTTTACACAGCACTGGCTGGTTGCATTCACCTTTACTTTGCCAAGAGCTCCAATGGGCAGAACACCTGGGAGAATCTGTCAGCCTGAATGCTTAATGCCTCAATCCTTGATCCAGTGTTATCACCACCTCTGATGTCCCTCCCTACAAATCCTGCCTTATCTTAAAGCCTGGTCTCCTGAAGAGCCAGAGCTAAGAATTATGATAATGGATGCAATTCTATATTTACTTCAATCGCCAGTGGTAACTGGCTTCTTAAAGTTGACTGTCTTATCCTTCAACACCTCTCATGTACTAGTAAGACTCAAAAGCCCAGAGACAATTCACTATTATTTATCTTCATAGCTAGGAATCACATCAAGCTGCCTAAAATCCATGGCAAGCAACAGACATCAGCTGATTCTCTTAATTCTGTAACATCTTTTCCATCTGTGCCTGAAGCTGCAGTCTTGTAGGTGGAAAATGCCTAAATTGAACTTCTCAGACAACAAGGGGCAACACCAATCACATTCACTATGGAGCAGTTTATGTAGCACATAGGCATAAGGAAAAAGTGAAATTTGCCAAAAAAAAAAAAAAAAAAAAACCAACTGATTGCAGATGAAAAGCAGCTCCTTCCTCAGCCTCAGCCCACATTGCAGCATGGCCCCTCACCTCTCAGCAATAGCTTTGGCCAGGAGGGCTTTCTTGCGTTTATTCTTCTCTTCTATCAGCCGCTGTTCCTGCTGGAGGATTTCCCATCGTGATTTCTCCTGCCTGTTCGGTGACAAGAAGATAATCAAAATTAGTAAGTTCATTTCTCTCCTTGTTTTCTGTACCCTAGATGACACAAGTATATCCACTCTCACAATTCCTTTACTACCCACCTGCCCTCAATGTCGAAGGAGCAACAAGTCAGTGTTTCGGTTCCAAGGCAAAATGAATCATCCATAAGAAAAGTCATTTAGGCTAATAAAGTTTTTCTAAAAGAAATCTGCTGATCAGAGTTAAGATTTTCCTAAGCAGAAAAGCTGGTGTGGTTAATTCAGCTTCATGAGAAAAGGGAACATATGGGACTTTTCATTAAAGGAATGTGTTTCCCCATTAGGTAGAAGCAGTTTCAAGTTTCTTGCTATCTGCTGTAAGTTATCTACTCAGCCTGTCAGTGCAGTCTTTTCCTCCCGCCTTCCTTTAGGAAGGATTTTTCTATAAAACAGAGTATTTTATGTGCGTGCAACCCCCAAACAATTACAGAGACAAAGCTGAAGGTAAGATACAGTGAAAAATGAGCAACAAAGAACAGGAATTCACAAAAAAAGAAAGAGTTGCACAGAATCTATTTCCTAAGCTACATCTACTAAGAGATAAAACCAATCTCAGGACAGCTTGTGCAGTAAGTAAGCACTACTCTGCAGAATTAAAGAAAAACAAAAACTGCTTTGCTGCTTTTCCACCTTGTAGCATTTGGAAATCCCTGTTCCAAGGTCTTGCTTAACTTAAAAATACCAAAATATCTCACCTACATTTATTTTCACAATCACTTCAGCACAAGATTCCTCTTTAGACCTCTTCTTACTACCCTAATTCCTAAAACCTCACACAGAGATATAGCTTTAAGATTTAAATCCACATTGCATAGGCGGAGAAATCTGGCAGCTTCAGGTGACAGCAGGAGCTGCTTCGCTCAAGATGCATTTGTGTGAAACGGGAGCTCCCGGAGCTCTTTGAGTCCTGAATCCGGGAGGAACCATGTGCTGCTTCACCTGCTGGGCACTGCCAGCTGCCACAGGTCTGCCTCGCTGGTGGGCAGCACTGCCAGCCCCTTCCGAGAGCCTACAGAGGTAACTGGCTCACAAAAACACAGCCCTGTGCACCACACTTGGAAATTGCTGAGCCCCGATTTGCGAAACCATCAGTGCTGCAGCACACTGGCCAACCAGCTGCTTGTGACAGCAGATTGCAAGAGGCAGGAAAGTTTGGAGCTGCAAAAGGCATCGAGGCAGGAGTAGCACTGTTGAGAGCTTTAAAAATAAAATATGCCCTAGAATGAGAATTCATTCCTCCTTTGGCCATTCTCACTTGGCTTTGTAGACAGGAGAATAAAGGGAATTCTATATAAAACTGTGTGCCTACTAGGAGAGGAAAGAAAATTAGCACTTGGATACAGACAGGAAGAAAAACTCCAAGAGGTAACAAGAAGCCATTGCATATGGGATATACGTTACTCCCTAGCCCTAAGACAACATTTTCCTTTTGCATGCTACTATCTGCATGCTGGAATGAAGTAATTGCCACATTTGATCAGTCAATTCCCAGCCTGATAAGCTCTGTATTCTCTCTCTTCCTCTCACAAGGACCATTTTGATGCTTCTGACAAGAGACAGACAAGCTACTGGGGGGATGATGCATGGGGCTGTGAGCCTCAAAATAGCCTCATCTTGAATCAAGGAAAGCTGAGGACTGCTTGAACCTGAAGTTTAAGCTCCTTACCAACACTTTCAACATGAATAAATTTCTTGCTGTATTTTGAAGGGAAACAAAATTAGAGATCTACTTCCAAAAGGGCCTTTTGTTGTGGAATGTGGTCCATTTACCCAACATGACATCAGTGAGACTGGGTCTTTATAAACCATTAAGACAGTCTCATATTTTGGAGATTTTCTGATTTACAGCCCCACTGCTGCAGGAATTTACCTGAAGATAGTATAGTGTATATCTGCACGAATTAGACTACATAGGATCAGATTTAACCCAAGGAGAGACAAAACAGAGGTTCAACAGGGAGGCAACAACCTTCCTAAGAGATGTAGCAAAGTTCAATACCCAGTTTCATTTTACTGCACAGCAAAAGAATGAATCAACACAGAATAAAATCAATCCCTTGATTTTACCGACTTACTAACAATTCCACTTTCTTTTTCTCCGCTTTCAAGTTTGGCTTTGCAGGGAGGTTCTGGGCATTTTCATTGCTACTACAGGGGTCCCCCAGCCTCAGTTCCTTTTGCTGCTCTTGGCTGTCATGTTGCCTTTGGTCTCCCTTTGAAGAGGCATGAGTTGGTGCCACAGGCTGTTGAGGATGACAAGACTTGCGTTCTGGTACGGAAAGCAGCTGCTCGGGAAGAGCAGAGGTGGCTCCATCCTGCACTCCCAGTTTCTCACACTGCTCCTGGAGGGCTTTTTCTCGCTGCAGCTGCTGCCGGCTCTTATTTGTGGTGTGGGGGCGGCGCGGCGGCTCCGAAGATTCAGACAACTCTACCAGGGGGTGAGGAGAAGAAACAGAATTAACCTGAAGTCATAAGATCAAAAACAGACTCTGAAGTAGCTTTTCCAGGAAAGCAAACAAACCAGGGCAAAAACAGCCTAAGGAAAAGGCACACATGTGCTGTAAGAAGGCACAGCAGAGAGCCCAGGTACCTGGAAATGTTTTGTTAGTCTAATAAGGAGACTGAGATGACCTGAGCATCTACAAACAGGGTAGGGAGAGACAGAGGGTGCAGAGCAGGGGACTAATGGAGGGACAGACTGAGACAGAGGCTGAAGAAGGACCTTTTATTATCTGAGGGTTTATAAAGTGAGCTGGAGAGTAAACAAGTGGAGGGTAAAGACAGGGAGCTGGAGGGAACGGAAAGGCGGCAGAGGGGCTAGAGGGAAGGCTGGTGCAGGGAGCAGGGAGAGATGGGGAAGCCAAGGACAGAGGCCAAGGAACTGCACAGAGAGACCATGGCAGAGATACAAGGAGGCAGAGAGAGGAAAAGGGGACAGGCCGACAGGACGGACGGTAGCAGAAAGCTGCAAGAATAGAGGGAAAGGGCAAAGAGAGGGGAAAGCTAAGGGCAGAGATGGGAAGGCCGGGTAAATGGATGTGGGGGGGAATGGGAAGCCTGGACGCGGGGAGCTGGGGGGATGGATGCAGAGGGCTGGAAATGTTAAGGGGAAGGGCCGGGAGGCGGAGGGGAAAGGCAGAG